GGATGCTCGAAATCACGGACGTTGGCCAGACCGTTGGCTCCCAGGGGACCAAGCTCAGGTAGTTCATAGTGAGAACCGAAGATCTCTTGGATATCTACGAGGGAAATGAATGGGTGTCCGGAGCCGACGAATACTCAGCAACTCACATCCTCTAGATGGGCCATCGGGAAGATTGACCTATATCCGGATGAGCATGTTCCCATATCATGTCAGGATTGATACCAAGGCGTACCTTGAACTTCAACCCGCGCTGAATAACGACCAGTTCACCGGGCCGCACCATCAACCTGGGAACGTTCAAAGGTGTCAGTTCTCAGAATCAATCCAGGCCAGAAGCCCAAACACAAAATACTCCGAGGGAGAGGGACAAATCAATGCGGGAAAAGGAAGGAAGATGACGTACTTGCCCAACTCCGTCTGGATATCGAGACGACCTTGCTGAGGAAGGATCAGCATATCGCCATCGCTGTTGACGAAAGCCTTCTTTCCCATCGAGGTGTTGGCCAAGTACACGTGGATTGCAAGACCCTCTCGAGTAGTCGGCTCGCCGTTTCCTGCAATGGTACGGAGACCCTGAATGAAATCGACCTTCTCGTTCGTAGGGATATCAAGGGGGTGCCATGCTTGCTGTGTAGCGCTAACGTGTATCTTTGGGTTCAGGGTGAAGAAATTCGATTCAAGCTGATGAAATACGTTTCAGGGATTATGCAAGATGGATTGCTCAGGGTCATTGTTTTGCTTACGTAGGGATTCTCTGGAGCAGGATTGAAGCCATTATGAGAGACGGAGGGACGCATGCGGTAGAACCACCTACGCGCAGTCAGCCTCGAGCAGCATGTCAACAATCGATAGGGACTACTTACGTTCGGAAGTTCTCTTTTCGGGGTGCAACAAAAGACGTGCCATTGATCTGATGTAAAAGGTGTGTCAGCGTACGTTCGTCGCGCGAAAATAACAGCTACATACACCCTCAGCATACAGACCGTACTTGTTCTTCTGCGGGCTGTTCTGCCCTTGGGGAAGAACACCAGGACTAGAATGCGCAAGCGAATTAGATCAACATCGCCAGAGAATTGATGCTCGTACATACATTGCTTCAGAGGCGAAACTGTTACCGAACCCGACTTGGTAGATGTACGGGTCTTTCTCGTTCTTGGGTGTCGCGTATGCGTTGGTAGCAGTGGCCTATGATGTACCAGTCAGTGGGTATCTCAATAGGGCCTATAGATAGATACAGACCATGGTGCAAGGTGCGCGGAGCTGGATAACACTAGCGGGGTAAGGTCAAGGGGTCTTTATACCATGGATCAGCTCTGCCACCATCCTCGAAAACATTTCATCCACAGGCGTTCCCTCGTGCACGTCACCCGAAGGAAGACCTTGTCGATTCAGGATCCCGGCGCAGGAAGTTGCTGATACATCGAGGTAACCTGATATTGACAGTTCCTCTCACTGCCTTTGAATTTACGGGTTCCAAGATTGGGCCGAAATCACCAGAAGTGTTGTGATGTCTATGGCCCTGAAGGGTCATGTTTGCAGGGTCAACGCGTTTACCCTCGCATGGGTCCCTCGAAACAGATGCATGGATCTCCTATGGAACCTCACAGAGAGTATAGTGTCTATTCTTGTGTACGCGTTGGACCGACCATCGGGAGGGACGGAGGTGGAAGGTGAGAAAGAACGGACCAGTGTAGTATGTGCTATTACAATTGTTTGGACCTGTGAACGAGTGTACAAGGCTGGCAAATCCATATAGTTCCGCTAAGCAAACGCGGCGCATCGCTCTGGTGGCGAGGTGACCGTGCATGTGAGATGATTCCCCAATGTACTCTACATGGGAAGGACACCTGACCGGATGGCGTATCAACATACCTTGTTAGACCATGTTCTCTCATCAGGGGGATACCTGGGGGATATGGCCGACGTTGCAACCTCTGAAACAGAGGTTAGAGATCGTAAAGCGTTTTTACCTGATGACCAGTCGGGCGTCATGCTGCCCGAACAAGTATAAAAGTTAGCCGGCCCTCCGCGTATCTTGTTGGTTAAATAACAGCAAGTCTTTACAAGGCCAGGTTATCCCACCGGTCTCTGCCCAGTCGCACAGTGTTGAGAACGTTGGCCATGTCGACGCCAGGAAAAAGCCGTTCGTCCGGATTTGGGGCTTGTGGATACGAATGTGTGCCGGACCGGCCTGGATTGGCTGAGTGACGCCCCACGGCCGACAGGCGGGAGAGATATCAAGCACATCGTCCCATCGATATTTTCGCTCGTTCTTCTTCAACTCATACTACCATGGCACAGCAGGGCACCAACGTCAAGTTCCCAATCGACGTCTTGGGCAAGCTCAAGAAGTGAGTGCATTGCGAAATCTGTCGCAAACATGGGTCCTGACACCCCGGATTAGATTGCAGCTTGATCCCACAAACCCCAAACTAACGAGTGAGCAGAAGGAGGCTCTTGCTAACAATGTCCAGATAATGCGAGATGCTATCGTCCTGTTCACCGCGACTGGTGCTGCCCGAGGTGTCAGTGGACACACAGGTACGCTTATCTTAGCTACTTCTTGCGCAGCCAACAACTGAATGTCGATATGCCCAATTCTCCCAGGTGGTGCCTACGATACTGTGCCCGAAGTGAATATGCTCTTGTCCCTGTTCAATCAGTCAGACAAGTACGTCCCCATCCTCTTCGACGAAGCTGGTGAGTGCCGTCTGCAATCTCGCATCTCGAATTAATCATCGATGTACGTCATAGGTCACCGCGTGGCTACGCAGTACCTCGTATCTGCTCTGGAAGGACATCTTCCATTCGAGCAGCTTTTGCATTATCGTGAAGCAAACTCTAAGCTTCCCGGGCACCCCGAACTCGGTCTTACCCCTGGAGTCAAGTTCTCCTCGGGACGTCTCGGTCACGTCTGGCCATGGGTGAACGGTATCGCTCTGGCCAACCGTGACAAGGTTGTCTTCATGCTCGGTTCCGACGGTTCACAGCAGGAGGGTAACGACGCCGAGGCTGCCCGACTTGCTGTCGCTCAAAACCTGAATGTCAAGCTCATCATTGATGACAACGACGTGACTATTGCCGGCCACCCCAGCCAGTACCTCAAGGGCTATGACATTGCCAAGACTCTGGCTGGCCATGGTTTGAAGGTCCTTACCGTTGATGGTGAAAATCTCGAACAGCTCTGGGCCGCCCTCGTTGAGGTCATTGGCTTCAACGGTCCCGCTGCGAGTATGTTCTTCTTTCTCTCTCTTTTCCCTATTCAGAATCTGATTATCGTAGTTGTTTGCAAACGTAAGATGGCTCCTGGTGTCGCTGACATTGAGGGTTCCACTCACGGGCACGATGTCATTCCCGTCAAGTCTGCCATCAAGTACCTCACTTCTCGTGGATACCCCGAGGAAGTTTCTGCAGGCATTCTCAACAACATCAAGCCCAACGCTGTGCCCTATCTCTATATTGGTTCTACCAAGGAAGTCGGCGCGACCCGTGTTCAATTCGGTGAGGCTGTCAACCTGGTCCTTGACGGCCTGAGCAAGGAGGAGGCTGCCAAGAAGGTTATGGTCATCGACAGTGACTTGGAGGGTTCCACTGGCCTGAAGGTCATCCACCAGAAGCACCCTGAGGTCTTCATCCCCTCTGGTATCATGGAGCGTGGAAACTTCAGCGCTGCCGCGGGTTTCGGTTTCGACAAGGACAAGTTCGGTGTCTTCTCCACATTCGGTGCCTTCCTGGAGATGATCATCTCCGAGCTTACCATGGCTCGCCTCAACTTCTGCAACGTACTCTGCCACTTCTCTCACTCCGGTGTTGATGAGGTAGGTCTTACCACAGCGCCTTGTGAAGGAGTAGACAACTCAACGGGTTGATAATAGATGGCCGACAATACCTGCCACTTTGGTATCAACCACTTCTTCGCTGACAACGGTTTGGCCGACACCCAATCATGGCTGTACTGGCCTGCTGACGCAGCTCAGATGACTGCCATTGTCAAGCGTGTCTTCTTCGAGCGCGGCACCCGGTTCATCTTCTCTACCCGTTCCAAGGTCCCCTACATCCTCAAGGAAGACGGCAAGACCCGCTTCTTCGGCGACGACTACGAGTTCGTCCCCGGAAAAGATGAGGTTATCGTCGAGGGCAAGGCTGGCTATGTTGTCTCGTTCGGTGATATGTTGTACCGTTCTTGGGACGCTGTCCTTCGTTGCAGGCAAGAGGGCCTCGATGTTGGTTTGATCAACAAGCCCACTTTGAACTTGGTCGATGAGGAGGTAAGGGTTTCTTGTGATGTGAACGCTTCGAACGTAGAGCTCACGCATAACATGATGTAACAGACCATCAGGAAGATCGGCTCGACCCCCTTCGTCCTCGTTGTTGAGTCATTGAACCAGAAGACTGGCGTAAGTGCCATTGCATACATCCACCTCGCACGCAAACTCACGTTAATTCTACAATAGCTTGGCTCTCGCTTCGGTACCTGGTTGCTCGAGCGTCAGCTTACTCCCAAGTACGGCTACATGGGTACCAACAAGGAGGGTACGTATTTGATAACTAACTACTACCTAAGCCAATGGACCTGTACTGACAACTATATATACCTCAGGTTGCGGTGGTTTGACCGAGCAGATTCCTCACCAAGGTCTCGATCCTCAATGTAAGCATTCCCCGTACGCCTCAATCTTTGTATTGGCACTGACGAGAACATCTTGCAGCCATCATCTTGAAGATCAGGCAACTCTCTCAGTGAACGACTGGATGAATGGGATGGTGGAATGACGAAATGTAGCACAATCTATTAGACATTCAAAAACAGGGGAACGTCAAAATTGTACGCTAGAGAAGCTCGTTGTCATTGTACACAATGTTCATACGGTTGCCAAAAATCTTGGAGGGATGAGATACAAAATGTTACTGGGCATATTTCGAAGATTGCTACCTTGTTGCTCCCGAGAAAGACGGCCCACGGGTGACCAAGGGTCAAAAAGTGAATGCAATATGTTTAGTGCGCCGAGGGGGAATCGAACCCCCGGCGGGTCGAAGTCTCGGATTGTCTTCGAGTCTCGACATGGCAACGACCCAGGTTACCACTACCCCATCGGCGCGTATTTCGTAAAGTCATTCTTGGATTCCAGTAACACGTGCAGAAGGTAAGCGAGTAGCGCGTCAGCTCAGTAAAGTACTGTAGGGCTGCGTTAAAGTGGCAGACGGTGACCATACCGTTCAAGATGTTTGACGAATGTGAGTCGTTGTCTGTAACAACTATTTCGTATTTAACAAATCCGTATTAGATGTCGAACATACCTCCGCCCCCAATGCCGCATTTTCTCATGGCGGTGCATTGCCCAAGGTAGAATATGAGGGCTTCGAACCCTCTCCGTATGAGGAGGAGGATAACCAACCTGAGGACTTTGGGCCGCAGGTATGTTCACTGCTATGTGCACGCCGACGAACTCACAGACCGCATAGGTTGATATACCCACAGACAACACGCCGCTCTTCGCGCTCGAACGCGTGCAATACACACCCCCTGCCCCGATCGTGGCTATGGTCGTTTCCTCCGATGTGCTCATCATGGGATTGAGCACTAACGTGCTTGTGTTGATTGAGTTGACGAGGGAAGAGCAAGTGTTGCAGATTCCTATACCGAGGAAGACGAATGAGTTGAACATTCACAAGATGTTCTTGGATCCTTCAGGGAGACACCTCATTGTGACGTCTACGCAGGGGGAAAACTGGTACCTCTTCAAGGGATGGAAGAAACCACGACTATTGAAGACGTTTAAGATGGTCATTGAGAGCGTGGCGTGGAACAAACCTGCGCTGCTGTCTTCTTCACGGTCGACTTCCACGAGGGAGATGCTCATCGGTGCTCGGAATGGTACTATCTACGAAGCAATGTTGGATGCTGAGGAAGACTTCTTCAAGTCACAAGAACGTTACCTCCAAGCTGTCTTCTCACTTCCAGAACGTCAACCCGTGACCGGAGTAGACTTCAATTTCTTCCCTCCTCTTGACCCAAGACGCGCACTTGTCGTGGTAACGACTCCCTCTCGTATGTACCAATTCCTAGGCACTCCAGATAGACGTTCAGACGACGGTGGACGTATATTCACGAGTCTGTTCGCGACATACCGTGATACCGCGCCGAGTGAGTGTTTGCTTAGTATATCATTGTATTGACAATGCAATCTGATAGTTCGAAGAGATCCTTGAGCTTCCTGGTAATATCCAGTACTCCGAGTTGCACGTCTACAGCTCAAACGCCGATCAGGCACATAGTCTACCAAAGACCATTGCTTGGATGACTTGTAAGGAATATGGTTATGCACGCCTTTCTCTGAACTCACTGGCAGTGGTACCTCATAGCTCCCGGAATATATCATGGCTCGCTCAATTTTGACTCCACCACGGATGACCTGATTGACGGGGCTGAACTACTACCATACCCAGTCTTCCCTTCATCCCCAAGTACCTCGCCGACTCGTCGGGAACCGGAATTAGGTGGCCCTCCTGCTTCCATGGCATTGACAGAGTTCCATTTTGTTCTTCTGTATAAGGAGCGGGTAGTCGCTTTGTCAAACCTAAATGAGCAACTGACGTATGAGGAGATCCTACCCTTGGTAACGCGTCTTCAGTCACGCTCATGGTGTCAGTAGAATTGACAACTTCTGCTTCAGAAACCTTCAGAGTCAGTCCGAGGACTTACAGCTGATCCCGTACGGAAAACCTACTGGGTCTACACCGACCAGTCTCTGTTCGAACTTGGCGTTCGCAACGAGGATAGAGACGTCTGGAGAATATACCTCGAAAAGGGCAAATACGATCTGGCTATCCAGTACGCTAAGGTTAGCAAGCATTTTACAACGGGAAGACATGCCGACTTGCCTGACCCTTATCCCGCAGACGGCAAACCAGCGAGACGTGATCACCGCGGCACAGGCCAGAGCGTTCTTCGATGAGGGAAGGTACTTCCAAGCAGCATCGGCCTTCGCCCAATGTTCTGTCACCTTTGAGGAGGTCACTCTGAAGTTCCTTGATGCCGGTCAGCGCGATGCGTTACGGTCATATCTGATCTCTCGATTGGAACGGACCAAGCGGACCGTATGTGCTTCGTTTCTTCTCTCGTTGTAACGGATGAGGAGGGACTTATATTTGCGATGTTATAGGATCTTTCGCAGCGTATGATGCTCGCTACATGGTTGGTTGAGTTCTATCTGAGTAAATGCAATGAGTTGGACGACCTCGTCGCTTCCGAGTCTGTCTCGCAAGATGTTGTCAACTTGCAGACTGAGAGGACTATTGTCGAGGAAGACTTGAAGCATTTCTTTGAGACCTACAAGGTACGTGGAAAGCTTCCTTTCTGTGGATTAACCTAATATCTTGTCTTCACTGAAGACCAATCTGGAACCCAACACAGTATACGAGCTCATCCAAGGACATGGTCGAACAGATATGTATCTGCACTACGCTTCCGTCATTGGTGATTTCAAGCGTGTAGTCGAACACTGGATTCTGGAGGAAGATTGGACGAAGGCAATTGATGTGATCAATCGACAGGTACTGTTTATTTTGACAAATAATCATTGACCTGGGAGATTCTGATAGCTAGATTTCGCGCTGCAGTCGAACCTGGAACTGTATTACCGCTATGCACCAACACTAATGCGACATGCACCCAAGGAAACAGTTGACTCGTGGCTCCGGCAGCCAGCACTGGACCCTCTGAAGCTTGTTCCAGCACTTCTACGTCTTCAACACCTCCCAAGAGATCCTCTTTCGCCCAATCAAGCTATCCGGTACCTCAACCACGTGATCTTCGAACAGGGCAACACATCCCCTACCATTCACAACCTCATGATCACATTCTATGCCTCTTCTCCCTCCTCTTCATCTTCGGCATCAACCCAGAGACATCCAGAAGATGACGGCCCCTTACTCCGATTCCTATCCACTGCACCTTCGGATCCATTAACAGGCAAACCATACTACGACCTCGACTATGCCTTGCGTCTATGTAAACAGACAGGACGGACCCAACCATGCGTACATATTTATAGTAAGATGGGATTGTGGGAGAGTAGTGTTGATTTAGCGTTGGAGAAGGGAGATTTGGAGCTAGCGAAGGTGAACGCGGATATGCCGCCTGAGGAGGATAGGCAGTTGAGGAAGAAGCTTTGGTTGAAGATTGCGAAGTACGTCGTGCAGGATAAGCAGGATATCAAGACGTATGTATTCAGCGAATCTCTGATGACTCGCATGCAAGCTAACTCAATCATATATATAGCGCGATGCGGTTCCTCGAGAACACGGATTTACTCAAGATTGAGGACATACTGCCCTTCTTCCCAGACTTTGTCGTCATCGACGACTTCAAAGAGGAGATTTGTACAGCGCTTGAAGGGTACTCCTCGCATATCGACTCCCTCAAAGCCGAGATGGATGAAGCAACTCGCAACGCTGAGTCAATCAAGCAAGACATTGTTGCTTTGCAGAAGAGATTCATTACAATCGATGCCGCGGAGAAGTGTTCCGAGTGTGGTTTAGCGTTATTGACGAGACAGTTCTATGTCTTCCCTTGTCATCACACGTTCCATGCAGATTGTTTGATTGGACTGGTAAGTGAACACTTGCAGTTTGCGTCGCAAACTATTTTAGAAATGGCTCACGTGATACATTGGAACTTCACATAGACGAAGGAATACCTGCCGGCCACAGCTCTGCGGAAGATCATCACCCTGCAAAGCGAGCTTGTCAAATTAACGCAAGGCGCAGCACTCGACCGAGGCATCACAAACCCCACATCACTTCTTCCATCTTCAGCCGCGCACACACGACAAAGTTCGACAGCCCAACGCACGTTGCTTTCTGCAACGTTCCAGAATGGGCAGTCCAAGACAAGTGGGAATGGCTCCGCCACAGCCGGCACGGCAGCAGCGAACGCCCTTGGCCTAGGTCGTAACCTTCTCTCAGCAGGAGACAGATTACGAGACCTCATCGTTCCCGACACGCTCGTGAGTATCGTGACTGCTCCGGCGGGATGGATACCAGGCATCGGCACTGGTAGCAGGAGGAATACAGAGAAAGACGCAGAGAAGAAGGTGGCGAAACTGAGAGCTGAGTTGGAGGATGTGTTGACTGGGAGCTGTCCGCTTTGTGAGAGTGTGGTCGCTGGCGTTGACAAACCGTTTGTGAAAGAGGGAGAGAGGGACACCAGTTGGGAGCTGTGAAAGGAGCGACCATACATTCCTTCGCAGTTTCTGTCAGTGATAATGATACCTTTCCTGATATAGCCACTGTGCATTCTGCCAGGCTGTCTTGGTGTACATTTGATTCTGGTAAGGTAGGTGCTATGTGGCCAACAAGGATCGCTGCAGCTGCCAAATGGACATTTCTTACATCCCTCATATTCGACCTCCGAAAGACTGTAGCAACAGGCAAGTCCCTCTCTTCAAGACCCTCTTCGCCGGGAGTTTCACAAGTAGTAGCCTTGGGGATGATCTGAAGTTGTCATTATGTTCTAGGTCATTCTCCGGGAAGTCCGCACTTGCATCTGACATTTGGTCCTCAGGCTGTAGACTTATCAACAGGTAATGTCCAGCTTTGGGTCTCTCGGTCTCTTCGGCATCGCATCCACTACCCTTATTATAGTTCTCCCTTACCCTGTGTCGACTTCTGCCCATACTGCCAGCACTGATTACTAGCATTCGTAACAGTAGTTTGGGGCGTTGCTACGACATTGCACATGCATCAAGTGTGTCCGTCTTCCCAATTGTCAGCATGCAGTGCCGCTGTGGTCACTCCGGAATCCCCTGCCCAACGAGCTCAGTCCGCACTATAGCCTCACGTTCCTCATGGTATTATGCTGCACGCTGACCGGTCAGAAGATGAACAATATTTCTCAATGGCTTCAACGGGTTAGAACCGCTCCTCCCAAGCAGCTCTGTCGAATCGTCGCGATCTTGGTATTCAGAACTTGAAGGCTCACCGTTGTGTTGCAGCTGATGAAGACGGCCTAAGCCTGCACTTTGTCGAGGAAGTGGCTTACTGACAATCTTTGATATCCATGTTGGCCATCACGAGAGAGCTGTCAATGTGGTGTTCA